CCAGAGACCTGCTTGGGTTCCTGACCTGACATCCCTCAGTCATCTATTGTGATGGGGACTCAGAAGCCACATAAACCATTGCTCCCAAAGCTGCTTTGGGTTGGGGTTTTGTCACAGAAACCAAAAAACAAACTAGAGCACCCTCTCAGGGAGTCACTCCGCTAGTACCCAGAGCATCTTATAGCTAGGCAAGGGTAGGGAAAATGAAATGGGCCGGGAGGTAACAGTTCAGGGAAATGATGGTGGAGACAGAGTCAAGTTCACTGCCAATGGCTCTCTCCGGAGAGCTAACAGTATTGTAGTGACGGTAAGTTCAATTGGTAGAAGAAGAAAAGTTAGTTCCAGGCTTAGGACCATGTGATCTCGTTATCCTACTATTTTATATGCTATAAGAAAGCATGATACTGTTAGGTTTCAAACCTGAGACAAATGGCCAAGGTGCCTATCTAATATATCAAAGCAGACCTGGCTCCCAGCTTCCCCTAGCATCCCTCAAGTCCCTACCTGTTAAAGGGCCCTCCTGGCTGGCATACCCCGCCCCTACCCTGAATTCTCCAGCCCGGAGGCTGGGCTGCCTTCCCTAAATGCCCTTCCCTATATAATTCAGCCATTCTGCTTACCAGTGCTCTCTTTGGGGCCTCCTGGCTGCTGCGCCTGGTTCCTCTGCTCTCCCCATCCATCCCTCCCTCTCCCCCGGTCCTCACACGGCTCAGGATTGTGTCTATCCTGGACTCTCCTAGATGTCTCTGCCTCTACCTATGTTCTCCCTTTTATCTGCAGTAAACTTTCTCCTCCACCACACCCAGGAGTAGTCATGTCCTTTTCTTTTTATTTCTTTTTTCCATTCATCTGGTGCTGAAACCTGGGATCAATCATGTCCTTTCCTTTTTTATTTCTTTTCTTTTCTTTTCTTTCTTTCTTTATTTAGTTCTTTCTTTTTTTCTTTCAATCTTTTTTTTTTTCCACTCAGGCCTGACTTCCTGTTTCTCCATTGTCTACAATCTTTTTGGTTTCTTAATACTGGCTCAAAACCCCCACACTTCAGTCATTATAGTCTCCTTTATTTCCATATGCATTCTCCAGTCTTGGCCAATGTTAACCATTACGCAATCTGGCCTCTTTGTCTCTATATCTACTGTGGATTCACTGTGTTTCAAGTTCCCATTCCGCCTAGTCAGAGGTGCCCGCCCCAGAGGCCATCCATGATGACTTCATGTTTCAGGGCATTGTTAGAATTCTTCCTGTCTTGTCTGAAAAGGATAGCCTTCTGTGGCAATTGATTCTCTACCCGTTCTTCTAACCAGCCATGGCCCAATGCTTCAACCAAGAGCTTAGCATTTCTTCTGAAGGAGAAGGTACAGGTCTGTTTTCCTGGAGGGCATCCTCATGACCATTCCTGCCTGTCATTCCGTCTACCCCAGTGGTACGTGTCCAGTGTCTCCTGACTCTCAAGTCCAAACAAACTCCAGTTCCCCAGACTCCAAAAGACAGTCCAAATATCCAGAAATAGACTCAACCCGGACTACAGAAGGATTTCTGGTAGTTAGATAAAAGTGAGCATTTCTCGGGCACTTGTGGAACTGGTTCCCCTCTACCTGAAGGAGTCATTCACCTTATCTCTGGCAGAAGGGACCTATGACTACCTGTGCGGCTCCAGGCTCCTTCAGTATCACAAGTACCTGTTACACATTTCAAAGTGCCTTAGCCCTTCCCACCCCCTCCCCTCCCCTAAGCTCCCTCAGGCTCACAGCTTCCCTCCCCGCAGCTACTCATTCTCCCTATGACCCCGCTGTTCTTGCTACATTCCACACACCCCCACTCCAGCTCTGCTCTACTCCTGCTTCTCTATGCTTTCCCTATCCTCTGCCCCCTGCTGGGCCCCCCTCTCCCAGATAGCCCTGGCCATGTCCAGTCTGCTGACCGCGTTCACTCCTTTCTCTCTTTGCTCTGGACTCTTGCCAATGCCTCTGGCTGTTCTCTGTCTCTCTCTTATGTACAACAAAAAACTTCCCCTTAACCAAACCATAGAGTGGTCATCTTATCTTATCAATGTATCTACTTTCCTTTATCTTTGCCCTTAAACTACTTTCCAGCCATTCGAGGAGGTTTTGTTGGCCATGGCACCTTCCTAGCTGGCTGGGCTAGCTCGTTGTTCTCTTAGTCAGGAGTCCAGAGTGCTACAGCCCGTGAGTCTAGAGTCTGAATAAACAGGGTGGGGCTCGGCATTTGGGTTGTTTGTTAAATATCTCCTAATGGTTTCAACACACCACTCAGGAACCACTGCTCTAACCAGCCCTGCCCTTAGTGCTGTGTGAGGAAATGTCTCAAATAGCAGTCACATTGTGTTTATCATGAAGGGTGTTAAGTCAGTTTCCAGAGCCTGGCATTGCTGGTCTCAGCTCTGCTGCAGCCCTGCCTCTTGCTACCTCCTCCCGTGCCTCCCCTATCAACCTCCTCCTCTCCTGCAAACCGATTTCCTTGGGAGTCTGCAAAGGTATTGTGCTGTTCTCCCTGACATACACAGAGAGCAGATATCTTATCAAAGAACTCCTACGGTATTTTCCTAGATGTGAGGAGCCCATTTTCCACAGAGACCCTGGAAATTGGAAGTCTTTGATTTATAGAAACATCCTGACAGGATATGTAAAACGTAGCCAGTCTCCTGCCCCAAAGCCAGAATACCTTCTCATTCATTAGCCAACTATGTTTTCTCTAGAGAGACTTTCTGGTCAGGATTTATTGTAAGGAACCTAAGGACCACCTGAAAGACCACCTCCTAACGTTAGCCCTTGGCCTGAGGAACACGGGTCTTGGCTATGCCCTGGAGAGTGGGCTGGTCACACCCACCACTCTTTCCCAACCAGTGATCAATGTGTTGCGACACTGTCCGGTAAGGCTGAACTGAGTGTCTTGCCCTTTGGGTCAGCCAGGGCCTGATTCGAATCGAAGTTCCTTCCTCCTCCTTTACCAGAAAAGATGTTTAAAACCCTCACACGGATGAAGAAAAATTAAAACGGAAACACAGAAGTCATACTGAAAGAGCTGGGATATAAGCGTGTGACTGGGTGGAACAGGGAATTTTTCTTTTCTGTGTGAGCAGGTCAGGGGATTTCTTTTAAGGGGTCTCCATCCTCCAAACCACAACGTAGATCCTTTATCGCAAATGGAAGGAGAGCTTGATGTTGCTATTGTGTCTTATCTGGTCCCAATATTTATAAAGAGGAAAGTGATAGAAAACTCTGACCTGATGTTTCCCCAAATGCAGTGTTATCTTTCCAAACCCAGCCCACATGATTAGTGATGCCAAAGGTGTGTCTCATTAGTCCTTCCTCTCCCGTGAACTTGGAAGGATGGGAATACTCCAGAATGAAGCCAGGCACACACAATGGAGTATGTTATGTGACCCTTTGGTTGGTTGAGCTTTTGGTTTTATTTTGTTTTGAGACAGGGTCACGGGGTGTAGCTATGTAGTCCAGACTGGCCTGGAACTTGTGATCTTCCTGCTTTCCAAAGAGAGAGAGAGAGAGAGAGAGAGAGAGAGAGAGAGAGAGAGAGAGACTATGAGAGGGATGGTGGCTGGTGGCACAGAGGAGCCTTTTCAGGAAACAACCTTCAGAGCCTCTCCCTCAGGAAATCCCCTGAGGACTCTCACTCAAATGAATTCCCAGAACAAAACAGAAATCCAACTTTTAATAACCTGATGGGGCATCAGGAAGTCATGTCAGGTGCTTTAGTTTAGCATGGCCTGTGTGACAAGGAGCCTAGAGGAACTAAGACCCGGAAATTGAAAACTATCATGTCAGAGTACAGACTGCTTTTTAACTCTGTTCCAGGTAGAGCGACAGGAAGGCAAGGCTTGATTCAGCCTGTGAGATCTGGCCCAAAAGGTACAGGCCCCGCCCGGTTCGACTGAATACCCCTCCACCCGGCCAGCTTGCAGATGTGGGACAGATGTCACAGCTGACAGTTTTCTGTAGAGAACATTAAAAGATCAAGTGTGGAAGCCCATCCATGATCCCAGCCTGGGGGAAGCTGAGGCAAGTGGCCAGCCTGGGCTACATAGCGATACACTGTTTCAAATCAGAGCAAAGGCAAGTCTCACTGCAATAGGCATTTGAGCTCCTGGTAGTTTTAATCCTAAGGAAGAGAGGAACTAGGTGGAGGCAGGATGTTGGTGCTGATTAGCAATTACAATGGTGGCCATATCGGATCCCTAGACTTTTAACTGAGCAGGCTTCCTGAATATTTAGGGTCACTTTTTAAAAGATGCCAAGAGCATTGGCTTTGCCCCTAGCTCTTCACCTGGACACATCTTCCAAGCTCAGAACTACGTTTAATGCCAGCAGGCCTGATACAGACTGGCGGGAAAAATAGGAGCAGAGCGGGTGCAGTCGCATTGAGAGCTGGGACTCCTTGTTTTCCAGAGTTCCTTCCTCATCTCAGAAATTCCCGATACCATCTAATCTTTTGATCAGCTCTGAAAACACCAAAGGTCCCCCCTTGTCTCTGCCGCCACCAGCAAGTAAGATAAACTTATTTGGACCAACTCAGAGCACATTGTATCTGCTTAAAAGTCTCTCTGCTGGGACGCATGGCAAACTGGTCTCCAAAGCAGAGTGTATCTGCGGTGGGGCAGCTCCGTTATTCTGTGTTACACCTTGTGGCAGAATGCACGTCCGCAGCACTTTGCTGTTGGCACAGGGCCCTACTTGTCCTTATATCATGTCTCTGGGGCGCCTCCTCTCTCCGACAGCAACTCTGCTTCTGAATATTCAGGCCTCACTATCATATGTTTAAGGAATCAGCAGAGAAACATTGCTGATGTTTGTGCTGTTGCCCGCAGCAGCTGCCTCTGCTGTCCCCTGAGAACCACAGGGCTGCATCTCCAGCCTCTTCCTCTGGCTGGTGACTTTGTGCTACACTGACCCTTACAAGAACCCCCGTAAAGTAAACTCAAGCAATCAAGATACTTGTGCCGGCTGGGACAAGACGATCCTTACCAGAGGACTCTGAAGAAGAAAGCCATACTCCTCAGAAATGTGATACCGTCGCAAAGACAAGGATGTCACCGGCTTCAAACTCGGCCTTTGAGGCTCCATATTTTTGCTTGAGGTATCTGTACTGAAGAAAATGACTACGTAGGAAAAGTGCCCAGGTTCAGGGAGGTGCTTCCCAGCTGCGGCCTTTGAGGGAGTTCAGCTGTGTGGTGCTTCAGCAGCAGGGAAGAACCTTGCCCAGAGGTTGAATTCCAGGATGGCCACTAATCCATTCTGAGGCAAAGCCAGGTAAACAGTGAAGATTGGAATTAAAACTCATCAGCAAACAAACCGGCTCGAGGAGGAGCTTCCCCCTTTTCCCTTCTTATTCATAGAATATGAGGAAGTTTCTTTCAAACCCAGGGACAAAGAACTGAACTCTGGGAAGGGCGGAGATGAACTCGATTCTCAGTTGTGGTTGACCAGATCTACACCCAACACCCGAGAGTTTGGTTCCTGAGGAATTCTGACAACTTACCAAAATTGCTAAACAAGGAGTCAGTCTTTTTTTTTTTTTTTTTTAAGATTTATTTATTTATTATGTATACAGTGTTCTGCCTGCATGTGCCCCTGCAGGCCAGAAGAGGGCGCCAGATCTCATTACAGGTGGTTGTGAGCCACCATGTGGTTGCTGGGAATTGAACTTGGGACCTCTGGAAGAACAGCCAGTGCTCTTAACCACTGAGCCATCTTGCCAGCCCAAGGAGTCAGTCTTATTGGCCTTTTATCATTATTTATATTTATTTGAAAGTACTATATTTTTCTTTTTAAACATGTATGCATTTATTGAAGTTAAAATATAATCATATCATTTGCCCCTTCCTTTCCTCCCTCCAACCCCTCCCATGCCCTTCCCTTGCTTCCTCTCACATTCACGGCCTCCTTTTCTTTGTTGTCGTTACATATATATTCATAAATATACAAATCAAACCTTCTCAGTCTGTTTAGGGTTACTTGTATGTATTAAAGATTTCAGGGCTGACTACTTGGGTCGTATGCAAAGGAGTTAGAGTAAAGAAATCGCTAACGTGACCAGTCCATTAGAGTTCGTTTGTTTTGTAGATATGAGAAAGAGAAAACATCCAGAGGCCTCTGGAAGAGTCCAGATTAGAGAGAGAAAGAAGTAGACTGACCGTGGTCAGCAGACTGGACATGGCCAGGGCCATCTGGGAGCGAGAGGAGACCAGCAGGGGACAGAGAATAGAGAAAGAGCACAGTGAGAATGTCAGGAGCAGAGAACAGTGAGAAGAGCCACATTACAGGAAGGATGAGCAGCTTGGGAAGCCGGTGAGCTGGAGGGAGTTTAGCGTAGAGGACGAAGTGGGAGGGGCTAGGATGCCAGCGTGGACTCTGAGATATGTAACCGGTCCTTATGATGCTGAGGGAGCCTGGAGGCCAGCATGGGCTTTGATATGCAGTCACAGATATGTATCAGTGGAGCCATATGTCCCTTCTGCCAGAGGTAAGGGGAATGACTCCTTTCTGTCGAGGGGAACCCGTTTCATCAAGTTCCTGAGGAATGCTGGCTTTTACCTAACCTCCAGAAATCCTCCTATAGTCCAGGTTGAACTCATTTTGGGAATATCTGGACTGCCTATTGGGGTTTGATGAACTGGAGTTTCCTTTGAACCTGAAAACATTGGATAACCAATTAGGAAGCTCTTCCCAGGGAAGACCATTTCTCCTGTTCCAGAGTAAACTTTTAAGAGTAGAAATTGCATTGGCGGAGGGCAGAGGCGGGAGGAAGGTCCCAACAGTGTACTGGAACCTTAGGAAGGCATCGGTTCAGAAGAGCAGTCCCAGGTCCTGCCTATGTTTGTATACAAAGGTGACAGTGAATACTCCTTGGCATCTTTGATCTCATTAAAGGACGACTCATATATTCTTTAAATGTTTGTTTTTAAATTCTGCTTCTTTTTTTTAAAAAAAATTATAGAATTGTTTCTATAGTTTTTTTATATAGTATATTCTGATTATGGTTTCCTGTCCCCTAACTCCTCCCAAATCCTCCCCACTTTCCCATCCACCCAAATCACATCCTGTCTTTCTCTCTAATTAGAAAACAAGTAGGCATGTAAAATAATAACTAAAATAATAAAACAAACAAGTGTGGTAGGCTGCTGCATTATACTTCTGCCATCTCACGAAAGTGCTCCTGAGAGTAGTTTAAGTACTAGAAATATCTTGGGTAAAAACTGGTCTCTGTTCTCTTAGACCGGCCCTAACTTCTTTTGGTAAACTGGTCCCTGGACCAGCCACAGGTTCCTATAGAATGTGGCTCTGGGCGGAAGGCTAACGGCCTGCCATGTCAATGCCATCTCCCCATGTCTGGAAACAATGCTTGCTTGCTGGGGACGCTTTCTGTATGTGTCACTGACAGAAAATGAGAACACGCCCGCCTCCAGGGGATGGTTGAGGAGACCGTTTTATTGTAGATATGAGGGAGAGAACAGCCAGAGGCATCTGGAAGGGTCATGAACCAGGCCATGGGGGATGGGGGAGTGAGCAAGAGAGGAAGAGAAGAGAGAAGGCCAAGACAGGAGCCTAGGACCTCGAGGACCAAAATCACTTGGCCCAAATGGCAGGTTTTTATAGGAATCAGAAGCTGGGGGAAGGGAAGCCCCTGGGCTGGAGAGGTTCAGGGTTGGGGGGGGCGGAGTGGGGTGAGATGTGGCCTGAGAGGAGCCAGGATACCCTGTAACAGGTACTTGAAAATTTGTATATACTAGTAGTCACCACAATTAGCCATTTGTCCTGAGTTTCGTTGGGACCTGACGGGCACTTTTTTTTTTTTGGGGGGGGGGTCCTTAAAAGCTGGGATGAACTGGTGATCAGGGGCTGCGTCCTGCTAATCTGCTTCATTCAACTTACTGAACTTACTCAGGCCTCCTGGGAGTTTTTCTCCTCAGGTTCCCCTAACACGAGAATAGGACAAAACAAACTGGGATTCTATATTCTTAACTATACCAGAAAGTTCGAAATAGCCTGAACAGATAACTGGATTTAATGCCCTTTTGTCTCAGGGTTTTTATTGCTGTGGTGAAATACCATGACCAAAAAGCAAGTTGGGGAGGAGAGGGTTTATTTGGCTTACACTTCCATATCATGTTCATCATCAAAGGAAGTCAGGACAGGAACTCAAACAGGGCCAGATCCATGGAGTCGGGAACTGATGCAGAGGTCATGGAGCAGAGCTGCTGACTGGCTTGAGTCCCCATGGCTTGCTCAGCCTGCTTTCTTCAAGAACACAGGACTGCCAGCCCAGGGGTGGCACCACCCACCATGAGCTGGACCCACCCCCATCCATCACTAATTAAGAAAATGCCCAACAACTGGATCTTCTGGAGGCATTTTCTCAATGGAGGTTCCCTCCTTTCAGATGACTCTAGCTTGTGTCAAGTTGACATAAGACTAGTCAGCACGCCCTGTATTTTACCATATTTTCACTTTTAATTGGCACATAGTAATTGTACCTAACTTCGTATTACTTAACTTTCCAGAATGTACCATTGTGCTGAGTTGTAATTTAGTGTAGAACCCCTGCCTGAGAGGCCTACCATTAAGAGCAGTGATTTTACACCTCTTAATGAAACCTGCTGTCTTATATAACTAATACATCTTAATATAAATTAAATATTTAACATTTGTGTGTGTGTGTGTGTGTGTGTGTGTGTGTGCGCGCGCGCGTGCGTGCCATAGAACATTTGCCTCGTGTTCACAAACAGTGGCCACCATCTCTACCCTCAGGTCCAGCTGCTCAAACTAAAGAGGCCAATTATACAACAAATTAACAGTAAGAGAACAAAAAGGAGATGCATTCAATGTGGCCACACTGGGCAGAAGGACAATGAGCTCCAGTGACTCCCCTCGAGCCCATTAGTAGGGTCCTGAAGTGAGATGGAAGCTAGGGATGTGCACATGTAAGCAGTCCTGGTCAAGGCTTGGTCCTGGCCACCCTTGACCCATCGTTGTCTGGGCTTCAGTTTGGCTTGTAAGGAGGTCTGACAACGCGTCATCGCTGCTTAAAATCTACTCCCGGGAGAGAAGGTCCCCCTCCCACGGGCACCAGGCTTCAGCCTTTTCCTTCTCCCAGCATGAGAGTCCTGGGGGTGCTGGGGGGATTTCTAGTTTCTCAGGATCCCTAGTTTCAGCACTCCTGTAGGCTGACGGACAGACACAAACGTCTCTTCAGAAAATGTTTGTTTCCAGCGGGTCGGTTATAGGTCACAGGAGGACAAATTGCAAAAGTTGGCGACCTTCGACAACATGAGCGCTGGGAACTGAACCCGGGTCCTCGAGGTTGGTAACCAGCATTTCCACTCACGGGGCCATCTTGGCCGCTCCAGCGGTCTACTACAATTTTAAATGAACAGTGTCGATGGGGCTGAGAGGATGGCTCAGTGGTCAGAGCCTTTGCTGCACAAACACGAGGCCCTGAGTTCAGATCCCCAGAAACCCACAAAAAAAAATGTGGGGTGTGCACGGTGGCCTGCCTGGAATTCAAAGAGACAGAGGACCTCCAGAGCAAGCTGCCCCGGGAAGACTAGCCACATTGGCAAGCTGTGGGTTTGAGTGGGAGACTCTGCCTCAGGGACTAGAGTGGAAAAAGCCGTGAGGGATAATTCCCGTCATCACTTGGGCCTCCACATGCACGTGTGAGCTTTCACACACACGGGCTGACATGCATGAACACATACACGTGCGTACCCTAGTTACAGAGAGAAAAACAGAAAAAGATGGATGCTTTTACTCCCCGAAGTCAGTTCTGCCGCTTCGATTTCGCAGATCAGTAAACCGAGGCATGTGTGACCTTTGACTCACCTGCTCAGCGTCAGTGAGCCGAGATGGCTACGCCTGCGGTGCCTCGACTTTCCAAACGGCTGCTCCGTTCACTGGATCAGGGAGCCAGGCCGGCTGTCATAGGTGCTTTGGCACCGAATTCCCTTTGAAGTAGAGCCTAGGATAGTGATTTCCATATCCTAGATCGGCACTGGGAATGTCTGAGGCCTGGCCTTTGGCTCAGTGGACTCTGAACTGAAATTGGAAGGTTGTCAATGAATTCA